TGCCTTTAATGTCTATATCAGGGATTCCTAACCTTTTTTAGTTTCATGGGCATCTTTGGAAAGGACTCTGATGAAGACTGTGGACTCCTCAGAATAAGGTTTTTAAATGCATAATATAAAATATATGGGATTACAAGGGAAACAACACAATACAATGAACAACAACACAAAGTTCACAGATGGCAGGCTATGTCACTATTCTATAGCATGACTTAGGGAAATGAACCACGGGTTTGGAGGTCCTGGGTTCAAATCCCAGACCAGCTGTATGACCTTAGCAAACTAACTTCACTTAAGCTTGAATTGCTTCATTTGTACCATTTGTTGGTAAATGAAAAGTGCTTTGTAAAACCTAAAAGTATTGTATGCACGGCAGCCATTAAGAATATTGTTCTTGGTGGGCCAAATAACCGAACATACGATGCATTGTTTGTGCTTGAAACAACCCCATGATGCAGTGAAGGGGAAGATAGTATTAATCTCATTTTGTAATGTGGAAAACAGGCTTAGACTGAAGAAGTGTTCCTTCTCTGAGGCCACATAACTAATCTTTGGAAAATCTGAGACTGGAACACAGAGTACCCTAATCCTCTCATTCTTTCTTTCTTTTTCGGGGGGGGGAGCTTTCTGATTTCAGTGCAGCTGGCTTCAAGGACATCTGCTTAGAAATAGGAATTATTATAGTAGAAAATAGGCAAAATTAGATTGGAAAGTGCACTGAAGTCAGACAACCTGGATTTGAGTCCCAGTTTCAGTAATCCTGTAGTTTCTAGATATCTGACCTTGGATGAGCTTACTTAATTTCTCTGAATCCCAGTTTCTGCATCTATAAAATGGGTATTTTTGTTGTTCAGTTGTTTCAGTCACATCTGACTCTTTGTGACCCCATTGGGGGTTTTCTTGGCAAAGGTACCAGAGTGGTTTGCCATTTCCTTCTCAGCTCATTTTACAAATGAGGAAACTGAGACAAATAGGGCTAGCTGACTTGCCCAGTGGGGTCATACAGCTAGTAAGAATCTGTGGTAGGATTTTAATTCCTGAATCAAAGTCCAGCTTTCTAGCTACTATTTTTGTTTTGCTCAATCAGTCATGTTTGACTTTTGACACCATTTGGTGGTTTTGGAGGCAGAGATACTGGAGGGACTCTCGATTTTCAGCTCATTTTACAAATGAGGAAACTGAGGCAAAGAGGATTAAGTGACTTGCCCAGGGTTCATAAGTGTCTGAGGCTAGATTTGAACTCAAGAAGATGAGTCTTCCTGCCACTGCACTACCTAGCTGCCCCTGTGCACTGCTACCTGTACTATATCAGCAACCATCATTTATTAAGCTCCTATTTGGTGCCAGGCACTGTTTTTGGTGCCGTATACTCACTTTCTACTGAATCATTATAGGGATGTTGTGAAAGCAAGTGCTTTGTAAACTGCAAGACACTTATATTAGGGGGAACTATGATTAAAACAAGTGTAAAAGTGCAGAATCAAAGAACAATCAAATTTGGAGACGTTTCTTGTAGATGACTGTGGGCAACATTTTAATGCACCTTTGAAGGCTTAGCTCTACTCTGATAAAATTCCAAGCCAACCCTGGGTTCATCAGATCATCCACTGAGATTACTGAACCTCCAGAAAGAGTTAGAAGAGCGTGGCAGAACACACTGGACTGGAGTGAGAGGACCTGGGTTCAAGTCTCATCTCTGTTATTTACTATCCCTGTGAACTTGGACAAATCTCTTTAACTGTATATGCACGTACATGAATGTATTTATGTATATATATATATATATATATGTATATATATATATACACATATATATATATTTACATATACATACTGTATAAACATACATGTATATACACATACATATATGTATATATTTTATATACATATATGTATGTGGCTCAGTTTCACCATCTATAGAATTGGGAAGATTGCAGTATGGCATAATCAAAAGACCACTGTCTCTGAAATAAGAGAACCTAGTGATCCTGACTCTAATGCTAACTACCTGTTTGACCTTGGATAAGTCATGTAAGGTCCCCATCAGTTTCCTAATCATTTAATGAGGGGTCAGGACTATATGGACTTTAAGGTTCCTTCCAAGTGATCCTGTGTTCCCTTGGGAACTGGAACAGACCTTGGGATCGTTCTCATCTAATATTTTCATTTATAGAAGAAAAAGTTAAGGTCCAGATAAGTGACCTGATTTGTGTTAGGTCACACACCTAGTGAGTTAGTAGAGCCATAGTTTGAATGAAGGTGTAAAACTGGCTCCAAAACCAGCATCCTTTACTTTTGGGAAGTCTGTCAAATAAAAATAGTTGATTATTTTCAGTTAAGGAAAATGCAGTTGCTTTTCCCTGTTGAATAGCCATGAGCTTCAGGAATTAAAAGAAGGAAGGAAATGAGCATTGATTAAAGATTATGCTAAGCAACTTCATCTTATTTAACCATTGCAACAACTCTGGGAGGTAAGTTCTATTATTATCACCACTTTACATTTGAAGAAATTGAGGCACACAGAGGTTAAATGACTTGCCCAAGTCATTCAGTGTCTGAGGCATGATTTGAACTCAGGTTCTCTCAACACTCTATCCACAGCATCATTTAGCTGCCTCTAAAAGCTACTGGATAATGATTAGTGTTATTAGGATAGACTTAGGATTGGTGCCCTATTGATAATCAGCAAAAGAAAAGGAAGGAAAACCTGTTAAGGATTGGAATCCACAGAAAAGTAGAGGGATGACACCAACAGCCTTGGATGTAGTTTTCAGAAACATGGTGATGGCAGTTGGACCAAGGAGTTGTAAAATCAAAGAACATGAAGAGCTAAATAGCATGAAAAATGGTGGACAAACAATTCAGTGAATAAAAAACAGCTCCAAGAAAGTAGGAGATGAAACCAAGTAAAGGGAAGGGGAAGAAAGGACAAAAACAGAACACAAGCGATCAAAAGGAAGAATATAGAAAATTACGAAAATATGGAAATATTAAAGCAGAGGAAAAGGAATGTGTTCAAACTATCAGAAGAAACAAATTGAAAAAACCTCTCCTCCTAAGACATGCTCTCTCATTAAAGGAAAGCGCAGGCAGGTAACAAATACGAATTCTGCTTAAACATGAAAGTTTCCTACAGCCAGGCTTACAAAATAAGCAGCTATTTAGCTTTTTCAAGCTTATTTTTTTTTCTTATTCCTACTCCCATTACCAAGCACAGCTGCTGAACGTTAGAAGTCCGACAGGATGAAAACAGGGCAACAGCTAACAAAAAAGTAAATCAAAGCTGGCCCTCTGCTGGTAGACCCCTTGTATTACACCATTGAAAAGAAACAAGTTTTCTGACAACTTTGCTCTCTACACAGTAACACTCAGGGCTCCAGGCAAGTCTTAGCTCTGGTCTCTGACACCCAGACCTAAAATCCTTCCATCTAGGGCCTACAAAGGGGTAAGTGACAGAGCAGTATGGAATGCCAATCAGATTATCATTGACACACATAGATTGCTTGCATTTTCTATGTGGATCATCATTACTTCTATACACCCTGTAACTTTGTTTCCCAGGTAGTAAATGAGTCTAAGGCAGATCTTTGGGATAAAGTAAATAAGACAGATTACTCCATAGGGTCGTTATGTGTCTGGGGAAGACTGAATTGTCCAGTACTATCAAAAAATTTGGAAGACATCTGCTTTTGCTACTCTCTAGGTTTCTGGATTTCATAGGTCCCTGAGCATCAAGACATAAAGCTGCCACTGATCCCCAGTGTGTGAGTAAATCACTGGAAATCACTGTTCATCTAGAAATCAATTCCTGACGGTAAAGCATGAGATAGGATAGTCAGTACCACAGAACAATTCCACCTTTTACCTCAATTGCCCCTTGAATGTAAAAATGATGCAAATTCAAATATTTAAATAAAAACTTGGTGGGAAATCCCATTTTCTCTGCAAGGAATGCCAAGTTGCTCCACTCCTAGATCTGAGACAGGATGCATTATTTTCATCATAACCAACAAAGTCACTAACTGAGCCAAACAACTCCCCCTGTGTACACTGTGAGGTACAGTTAAGCTGGGACAACCCTGAATCTGTCTCTTAGGACCACAACAGCCTCATTAAAGGGATAAAAGATGATATCTGCTGAGCTGGTGGAAAGTGGTGGCTGCATTTTTATTAAAGTCTCTGCTGCAGCAACCCAGTCCCCAAAGGTCTATATTCCAGGCATATCTCTCATTCTCTCTGTATGGAGTGGCTTAGTTGTTTTTTTGTAACTCATTAAGGGAAAACAAAATGCTGTCCTGGTGTACTCTTCAGAACACAAGACGTCTATCTACATGTAAGCTACATGTTTTCTTTCCTTTGCCTATGTCCTATATATAAAGCCTGGCCTAAGAAATTATAATAGACACCGTAGGAACACCTGATTGACTTAATACTATCAGCTTTAGTAACAGACTCTTAAAGGGCCAGGCTAGAAAATAACTGATGGAGGCCACCTTGCCCACCCTTTTTAACCACACCCAAACACACATGCACTCTGGCCTATGAAAAAGGCACTAGAGCATCCATCTGACCACATTATATTCGATTTGTACCCAGAATCCAAATTCCTTTGACCACATGGCACCTGGCTCCTATTTTTCAGTACTGGGCCAGAAAAAAAGAAGACATGGCAGCTTCTCAGTTTCTAGCCACTGAAGGTCCCAGACTTAGAGACCTCACACTGAAATAAGGTGAATGAAGCAGAGCTGTGTTTATCCTTAGAGCCCCAGACCACAGAAATGTTGATGCCCAAGCAGAGCTATAAACCTGCCAGAAGATTGGATTTGAGCTTCCTGGAGAGCAAGTGTCATGACTTGTGGCCTGCACAACACCTCTGGCAATGTCCTAGCTCCCAGGGCCCTAATCTCTTCTTGGCCTCCACAGACCCCAACACAAGTCATCATTACAGTTCAGGAGACCCACTTTCCCCCACCACAAAGAAGCGAAGAGCTGCTCCCTACCTGAGAGTGGCGCTCTCCCCTTGCCTGACCGTCACGTTGTCCATAGCTTTGGGGAAGGTGGCATCTCCGCTGCGCACTGGCACTCCTGTGGGCAGAAGGAACAGCAGCCTGAGAGACAGGACCACGAGGAACCTCCAGGGCAGCAGCAAGTACCCACCGACCCCCATCCTCGACAGCCACAACTTCCCTGAACTGGAGCAGCGGCACCGCAGGCGCCCCCCAGCCGGGCACAGGAAGCGGGCGGGGGGAGAGGAAGGGGACTGAGCGATCCAGGAGCAAAAAGTGGGGAGGGTTGGGGGCGGGAGAGAGAAAGAACCCGGGCTCCTCCAAGTCTAATGATCCTCCCCCAAAATCCAGCTTCAGCTTTCCACCATCGGAGACACGAATTCCCCCAACAGCATCCAAAGTGTGCGTGCCCCCCACGTTCCTCGGGTGAGGAAAGAGGCAGACCGAAAGGGAGAAGAAGAAGGAAGGTGCAGGGATGAAGGTCACAGATCTCTCTCTGCTCTCTCTTCAAGATGCTACTTTAAGATTCAGTTGGGCACGCGCTGCAGAGGTCTGGCATCAAAAGTTTATAACCCAAAAAAGTGCCTCTGACATGAAGGAGATGTCGTTAAAAAAGCTCCTTTTTTGGAAGAGGAGAAAAGAATTTTATTAGCTCACACATATGTATATTACATATATATACATAAAAAAAAAACAATTCACACTGATTCTTTAACAGAGGGGAGGTTTAAAAAAAAAAAGTTCCCAGCAGGGATTTGCAATTAGTTCCTAATGATGCCCCCGATTCTGTAAATTTCCTCAAACCAAATCCAGCCCCTGGATTCAGTCCCGTCACCCAGCTCGGCGAACGATGTTAGATCCGAACCCTGGGAGCAAGAAGAAGCCTTCCAGCAGAGAAAAGAAAGTGAAGGCTTGGAGCAGGAGCCCGGGTGTGGGAGCTGCGGGAACCCCGCACTCCTTCGCTCAGCTCAGAGAGAGGAAGCCACTGGCCAGGGATGTGAGCGCGTCGCCGGAGCCACACCAAACTCAGCTGCTTCCCCTAGTTTCAGCATCTCCTTCCTCCCAGGAACATCTCCGACTCGCACAAGCACCGACTTCCAGGGTTGTCATGGTAGCAACTCCATCACTGACCAACACTTTCACTCCCATACAGACACACTGAGAGGCGCAGACTTAGCACATTAATCTCAGGGAAGGCTTGTGAGCAGCAGAGAGAGCTCTCACTTTAACCCTTGCACTGCTGGGTCTGGGAACCAGTGAGCATACAGCCTGGGGAATTGGAAACAGTTGTTTAAAATCCATGCAGAGACATGGAAGAGAGGGAAGAGGGCGGCAGTTTAGTCTGTCTCTATTCTTCCCTTAACCCCCTCAGCTCCAGCAAAGGAACAAGGAGCTAGCAAAGAGAAAGATGTGACCCTCTCTGAGGCATTACCCTCACTAGGAAGAGGCAGGGTGGTAAAGGGGTAGAGGAAGGAGGAAGTGCTAGGGGAAACGTTGGGAAATTGAGACTACTGATTTCTTCTTTCTTGTGCATTCCTAAGCAAAATATGCACCCCTCTCCCCTTGCCTGTTCAAGGAGGCTTCCTATGGAAGGGCAGGCAGGGGAGCCCAGCCTGAGTTTGCTTCCACATACAGCTGTCATCTTGTTATGTTGCCCATCTGCAAACGCAATGCCACTTTCCCTATTCCAAAAGAGACCAAGTTTTCAGTGCTAGTATCCTTTTGTCCAAGGAAACATTTCCTACATCTTACCATTAAGTAAACAAGAAAGGAGTGACTTAACCTCGTTTTGAAGATAGAGGTTGTTTTTATTCTCTTTTTTCCCCACTCCAAGCACATCATCTCAACTACCATTTTTAACAGCCTAAAAATTATGCATCATTCTCACCCACACCTTCCAAACAGGCATCTGATGGTGGTGAAGAAAAGTATGTGGTGTGATGGGCCCCTTCCTCCATTTCTATGGGAGTAGAAGGAATATTGAATTTTCTATAATAATTAGGACACCTGGGTTCTAGTCCACTATTAGCCAGCTACCACTAATAACAGCAATAAAAATAAAAATAACACATTTATGTAGCAATTGACATAATTTATCTCATTTGATTCTTACAACAATACCATGAGAAAGCCTTTTGAAAAGTAACAGGATAAAGTTGGAAAAACAATGAGCTTGGCTTCAAGGACATCTGGACTCAACTCCTGGCTCTGACACTTACTAGTTTAGTAACTTTAGGCAAGTTACTTCTGCTCCCTAGGGCTCAATTTCTTCATCTTGTGAGTAAGAGGTCATACTAATACTTGTACTTCTTATGAGAAAAGCATTTTGTAAACCTATATAAATGTGGTATTAATTTTATTATCCCCATTTTCAAAGTGAGAAAATAGTGCTCGGAGAGTATAAATGACAAAACTGTGGTCATATAAATGATCAATATCCTCCTCTACAACTTCTATTGTTGATTATTATTATAATAGTTAACATTAATAACTGATGGTATAACACTTTTAACTTTGCAAAACACTTTGTATACATTAACTTATTTGAGCTTCACAACTGTGGCAGCTATCAAAGGTATTATAGTTTTCATTTTACACATGGGAAAAATGAGGATCAGAGATGCTAGATGTTTTGGCTATGATCATAAAATTGGCTGGCAAATGTTGGAAACAAGATTTGAATGTCGATCTTCTTGACCCCATATTCAGCTGTCTATTCATAAAGATTGTTGCTCTGTGATTATCAGGTATAAAGGTGCACTTTTAGAAATATGAAATCAATGATGGATTAGACTTGATTGACATTGCATATATGATATAGAATGCACAAGCCAGAGAACAAGACAAGACAGTGGCAGAAGGGATGTCCTGCACCCTAGAATTAGAGTATTTGGAAGGTTTTGAGGGAAACAAAGCACAGACAGCATGACTCTAAGTTACAAGACTGCTGCAAACAGCCAGAAAAGGGTGCATCAGCTGATTAGAGTGAGGCCAATTTAGGAAAAGCATGAGATTGCGGAGCAAAGTGTGGATCAGTGGAAAGAAAACTGGGTTTGGAGTCAGAGGGTTGGTATATGAATTTTGGCTTTGCTATTTACTACTAGGTATGACCTTGGGCATGTCAAAACTCCCACTTGTCCCATATTAAGAAATGAGGGAGTTAAACTGAGTTAGGGTGCTTAGCCTGGAGTCCTTGAATCTTTTTAATATTTTGGAAAAAAAACAGCTTTATTTCACTATAATTCATTTCCTTTGTAATTCTATGTATTTTATCTCATACATTTCAAGACGTTACTCTGAGAAGGGGTCCATAGGCTTCACTAAACTGCCCAAGGGGCCCATGCCACCAAAAAGGTTAAGAGTTCCTGTACCAGATAACTTCTAAAATCCCTTCAAGTTCTAAATCTATGATCTTAGGAATGTTTCCAAGCAAGGGACAGGGGGGAGGGGGAGAAGGGAAGCTTAGAGAAAGATACACTATGCCAGAATCCAGGGAACTAAAATTTAAAGTTTCAGGTAACTTTAGAGAGAGCAATTTCAACCTGATACTAAGGAAGTTTATATGGACCCCAGAGAGGAACACAGAATTCTAATGCAAGGGAAGAAAAAGTGAATCTATTGTGAATATAATAATGATAATAATAATAATAATAATTAATGATAATGATAATAATAATAATAATAATTAAAACTGGCATTTATGTAGTATCTTACAACATAATTTCATTTGATCCATGAAGATGTTATAGATATTATTATCTTCAATTTAAAATTGAGGACTCTGAGGCTGAAAGAAGTTCCACGGCTTAGGTTCATAAATCTAGAGTTGGAAGGGACCCCAAAGGCTATGTAGTAGAACCCCCTCATTGTACAGATGTGGAAATGAGGCACAGGAATGATAAATGACTTGTCAAGGTCACAGATAACAAGCCCCAGAAGTGATATTTGAACTCAGGAGCAGTATTTCTATATCCAGGGTTCTTTCTTCTGCATGAGGCTGTCTACGGATTACCCAGAAACACACAATTGAAACCCAGGTCCTTCTGATTGCAAGTCCTTTGCTCTTGTTCACTGAAATCCATTACCCTTAATTCATTTAAGCCAAAATCGATCAAGGTCATTTGGTCATAAGAGGTTAGATAAAGTGAAAAGAATGACATGACTTTCCTTTTTGTCTTCGTTCCTGAGATCTCCTCCAACTACTATTTGGGCTTTCACTAGATAATCAGCTGAGGAAATATGCTCTGTTCTAAGGTGGGATAGTAAAAGTAAAGAAAGAGAAAAGGCTAAGGTCCAGGATTGTAGCCTAAGGAAGAAAAAACCGTGAACCTCGCAATAGAAAGCTACTAAATTGGTGGTAAAAGATGGAGATCCTTTTTTTTGAATGTGTCCTAGTCTGTTTCTTTATAACTGTTAAATTGTGTACAAGCTCAAAGGATGGCCTCTCATTAAAAGGTCTCTTCAGATTCCCTACTGAGTATATAAGATGTTCTGAGAAGGAAATTAGAATTTTAGATCTGGAAGAGACATACAGAATCATAGGGTCATAGTGCTGAGGAGTCTTTAGAAATCATCTAGTCCTCTCATTTGATAAATGAAGAGGCTCAGAGAGCTTAAATGATTTTCTCCACGTAACACAGCTAGTTGTGGGAAAAGTAGGACCAGGGTGCAGGTCTCTTGACTCCTATTCTGTTGCTCTTTTTTTAAACCCATGCTGACTCTCTTGACTTTTAGGGAACCAGGAGGAGATTCTAGTGCCACCAACAGGAATAGGTCAATGCTCTTCACATAGGAACAACATTTGATAGGTGAGAGACAGGGAGTAAAAGGAACGCAGAAACAGAGAAAGAGTAAAAGAGAGAGAAACAAAGTAAGAGACAGAGACACACCCATAGAGACAGAGATAGACAGAGACATAGACTGATAGACATAGAGTGACAGAGACACAGAAAAGAGAGAGACAGAGAGACAGAGCAGAGATATACACACAGAACACTCATTGGATTTGGAGTCAAAATCATTGGACCTGGCTTTGCTACTTATTACCTATATTTTGTTTTTGCTGTTGTATTGTTTCATGTCTAACTCTTTATGACCCCATGTAGGTTTTTCTTGACAAAATACTGGATTGGTTTGCCATTTCCTTCTCCAGTTCACTTGACAGATGAGGAAACTGAGGGCAAACAGGGTTAAGTGACTTGCCCACTGTCACATAGCTAGTAAGTATCTGAGGCTGGATTTGAACTCTGGGAAGGTGAGTCTGCCTGACTCCAGGCTGGGCACTCTATCCACTATGCCACCTAGCTAGCCTTACCTGTGTGTAATTTTAAGCAAATTGCTTCTTCTCTCCAGTTTCCACACTGGTCAAATGAAAAAGTTGGGCTTAATGGTCAGAGATGTCTAAATCACTTTGGGGTCTAAATCCTTTTGTTTTATGCTTCTCTTATGTATCTATTCAAACATTTGAAACATGACCTTTGCTTTGCCTTAGTAGTCCAAAATTTCTAGAACTCCTGTTCTTCTTTCTTGCCCTAAACACTTTCTTTATATCAACCAAGCAGCATTTATTAAGCATCTATGGTATGCCAGGCACTGGCCTAGATAATGAAGATACAAAAACAAAAAAGAAACAGTCCTAGTCCACAAAGAGCCAACATTCTATCAGTAGAAACGATATGTAAATCTAAATATATGCAATATGCACAAAGAACGTACAAAATAATTTGGGGTTTCTGCTCTATACTCAGGGAATGGGTTAGAGAAAAAAACATATTGGTAGAACATCCCATTAAGTAAAGATATTGTTGTGCTTCCAACAGGAAGGAAAGATTTCCAATATACCTTAACTTGTTATTCTCACAGATTAATAAATGAAGTTTCATTGATAAAGTATACAAAGTAATGGGGCTTATAGAAAAGAGTTCGGGGGTTACTAACGATATATCCCTCAGTTGCAGGCAGGAGGATGCTGACATTCAAGGTTCTGTTCTAGGAAGCAGTTGTGAGAAGGTAAAACAACATTCACAGAGCAAAGCATGCAACCATGGACTCTCCCCCCTCTACCCCAAGCAGCCCTCCTGTTCCCCAAAAGACAGAGA